AGGCGGCCGCGATCCCCGCAGGCTCCCGTCCCTGCGGGCGCTGCCCTCTGTGCCTAGGACACTGGCGATACAATTGCTATGCAATGACTAATTACGAGTTTTGTTCACAGAGCACAGATGTGTCGAGTCGGCAAAAATCCGAGCCAAATACCCTGACCGTGTCCCGGTGAGTAACCAAGCCAGCTTCATCTGAGTACTTAGAGGCAAAGGTGGATAAGCTGTTTGCATCCTGCCCTCTCTTCTTTCATCAGATCCTACTAAGTAAATTCATTTTCCCTTTTGTGTCCTTAGATGTTTTAAAGAGGCCCCAAACACATCTGACTAATCCAACATTCCCTCCTCTGCCCTAGTGCATATTGACAAGTAAGCGAGAGTGCCTGACTTTCTAACCACTTTCCAGGCATGTTTATGGTTTATCAAGTGTCCTGGTTTCTTCTAATGGCAATTATATCCCAGCAAATGCCTTCAGTGCCTTGAGGATTAATTCTGTGCCTGATCCCAAGAAAGATCATAAATTCTTTCAACCTTGACAATCTTCCATCCTGGCTATATGAGGAAGGTGATTTTCCCTCATGTATTCCATGCCTATAACCAGTCGTATCGTGGTGGATCTCCCCATGCAAACCCTGTGAACCAGTGCAAGGGTGACCCCCTCCTTTCTGCATTAATACCTACCTACCTGCTAAATAGTGAATGACCTCTCTTCTCCACTCCGCAATCCGTTTTATCATGTTTCAGTCAGTGAAATGACCACTGTTATGTAACAACTAGCAACATGTCCACATTCTCAACTTACCTGCTTGTGAGTAAAGTTTCTCACAGCCCATCTGACCACATGCCAGTTAGTGCCACTCCTGTCTGACCTCTTGGTAAATAAGTTACCCATTAGACAGTGCAGCCCAGAGAACCTCTAATCCCATTGACTTTCTCTGCTGCTGAGTTGCACCTAGTCACAGCATATTCTCCAGTTGCAGTCCGGCAAGCTGATCCAATCCTTGCCATTCTCTGCTTGGCTAACTACCCCCTCATATATAGACTGTAGCATGCTAGCATGCTAATGACCATACATCTCCACAAATATCCATTTGTCCGTTTCAAGAATATCTTCCATAACCCTAGGGGAAAAAGAGACATTGAAACTCGTAGTGTGAATCAGAATTACATGATGCTGTATCAGGAATGGACAGCAAGGTGTGAATGGATACAGGAATTAAATCTCAAATTGCAGTATGATGCTTTGGGCCGATAGATGTTTTTTGCCTGATTATTCAGATTGAGCCATGTACCTTTCACAAAACAGTTGGTATCAAATATATTTTTGGCATTTAATAGTCAAAAGTGTTTTTCAGACTTAATGTATGTTTCCTGCTTTCCAGGTTATAGCCTGCATCCAGAGTGACATAGGTCAAAGTGACTTCAATTCTCAGCTGCTGTATCTGTCTACCTGGATTTAGAGATGTTTCAGTGGGTCAAACCTATTAAGATAATATATGAACAATCTGCCTCTGTCTTAGGCTAGACTTTTTAGGAATAAAATGGGAGGTGAAAGAAATTCATGCTTGCTAAGCACTGCAATTTTAAATTTGCCTGGGGAATCAAGTGGTCTAAGGGTTAAAGTTTTACTAGAAGCAGTTCACCAACAGCCTTGACTTCCAGTTATGACAGTTTCTGCATTATGAACCTAAAATGCCTCGTGTGTTATTGTTTAAAAAAAAAAAAGTATCAGTTGTTAAGGCTTCAATATGCCTTTTAGGCTGTTCTTGGTCCTCTTTACAGTTCCCTCATACTAAATGGCAAGGGGCAGCTACTATGCCCTCCTTCTGTTTCTGTAAGGCAGAGCTGAAGAAATTATAAGAAGTTTCTCCAGATCATAAGATAGCATATTTTGTAAATTTACTTGAGCATTACTTGTATGCTGTAGCAATGGGGAATGCAGAGCTAAGGAATGGATTCACTGGAACCTCTTGTAAGCCTTATTTCCCCATGTGCTGCATTTTTCCTTCAAGAACTAGCCTTTGTGGAGCAATAAGTGTCAGGTCCTTTCCACAAGTAATACTTAATTCTCCTTCCTCCTGTACCTGTTGCTTTTTGTTTGTGGCCATCTTGCCATCTTTCCTTCCTGCAATCAATTTCTGATTTCCTAACATATGAAGTAAGAATGTCAGTTTAGCATAATACAAAGCAGAGAATAGCATCAGTGAGTCGTACCTTGACAACAGTAACATGGTGGAACAAACAATATGCCTTAGAATGCAGTTATATTCAGAATAACATGTTAAAAAAAAAAATCTGGTTTCCAGTGATAAAATCAGTATGTTATTGCATACCTGAGTCTACAGACATCCTAAAATAGTGATTAACATAGGCAGTCTTTTTTCAAAGTTGTAAACAAAAGCTTGTTGATGCTGCAAACGTCATCTTCTCTAGGCATCTCTGCTTGGGTTCCTACCTGCTTTCTGTTACCAAATGCTCCCGGTGTAGGCAGAGAATAGCCAAGTTCCTATGGTGGCCTAGTAGCATAAGCAGGGGTTGTGATTATTTATTTATTTATTTTTTTATTTTATTTTTGCCCTTACAGCCTAGGTATCCCATCTGGCTCCCATTCATATATAGCTAAAACCTACGCATAATTAGTATGGCTTCACTGCCATCCTGTAACTTCATCCAATCAACTGAAGCTGTAATCATGTAGTTTTTAACATCAGATGCATACATTGCTGGATTATCTGGCAGTATGTCTGGTACAGCAGAGGCACACAGACAAGAACACATCACAGCACCTTTCTGGTGATTTGGTGGAGTGCTCAACTGCCATCCTTGGCAGGCCAGCTGGTATTCCAGAGCGTACTGCAGCCATGCTTCATTTCTCTTCCTTGAGGCATTGTTGAGCCTGGCTAAAATGCTTGGTGGCTAGCTGTGGGAAGTCAATGATCATTGCCAGATTAATTACAGAAATGCAGAGAGCATGGATGTTAAATCAAAAGTAGTACTGCAAAGCAGTGTCAAAAAGTGAACATGGTCTATGGCCAAGTAGAACCTTGCATTATACCACAGTTCACACTGCAACTCTGTCAGAGTTTTTACTGTATTCAGATATAACATGGCTTCTTCAACTCTGCACTGAGTTACCTGAAGTATGCATGTGCCTCTTACTTAGCATGACAGTTTCTGACATACTGGTATGTGTTGTGTAATGGTAAGTATGCTGCACAGATGAATACAAAAGACTTCAGAGAGAAAAAAAAAAGGTATTAATGAATACTCTAATGCTCTAGATGGAAGCCTGAGAGCCATTTTGGCATCTCTGGCTTGTGCACAACAGGTGAAATGGCAGATTAGATACTAGGCTGGTGGTTCTCCCTCCCATTTACCTAAATACTGATTTTTTAGCTTCAGTGTTACTGAAATTTATTTCTAACATTTCTTCTTTTTTTTTTTTTTTCTTTTACTATACTCTGTATCAAGGCAATTGGTTCGGTCATCTGTTAGGAGCAACTTGGGTCATTGTTTAAAGAAGACAGTTAAGGTGGAAGGGTGGAGGTGGTGTGGATATTAAACCTGTATTTCTTCATATTGTGGGATTTTATTTAGTCATATGACAATTTAAAAGAGGATAGGGCATGCTTGTTGCAAACTAGAATTCTGTGTAACACAAGTTTTCAAGCAATGATGGTCACACTTGCATGTCCTATGAGGAGCGGCTGAGGATTCTGGGTTTGTCTCGTTTGGAGAGAAGGAGGCTGAGGGGCGACCTTATTGCTCTCTGCAGCTTCCTGAGGAGGGGATGTGGAGAGGGAGGTGCTGAGCTCTTCTCCCTGGGATCCGGGGAATGATTCAAAGCTGTGCCAAGGGAGGTTCAGTCTTTACATTAGGAAGCATTTCTTTACCGAGAGGGTGATCAAACCCTGGAACAGGCTTCCTAGAGGTGGTCAATGCCCCATGCCTGTCAGTGTTTAAAAGACATTTGGACAATGCTTTAATTTTTTGGTCCGCCCTGAAGTGGTCAGGCAGTTGGACTAGATGATCGTTGTAGGTCCCTTGCAACTGAACTATTCTGTTGTTATATTCTACTGTCTTTTTACATTGTGATAGTGACAAAAACAAAATAAGCAGCATCTGTACAAAGGGAATGGACATCCTCAGACTACCTTCGCTCAGGTACCAACGCCACAGTTGAATTTTTCATGACTCCACTACAGCTGAATGGGGTAAGGAAGGAATATGGTTAAATGGATGCCTCAGTTTGTTATTATCAACTGCAGTAAGTGAGAAGACAGAAGTCCTGGACTCCTTCCTTCAATCACCAGTTAGTTGAAGGGAAGTACTGCAGACAAGCCACTCCTAAACCTAAAGTTTTCAAGCTGCCTGTGCTTTGAATGTCTCAGCAGACGCCAATTCCTCTCTTGCTGCTGCCCCCCAAGCTTTTGTCAGAGAATACACTATGTTTTGATTGTGCGCATCCCCCGTTCTGAAGGGGAACTTCAGAACATTTTGAAAATTAGCCATATTTAAACACAAAATTAGCCAATTTAAACACTGTCTTGGTATGAATAAATCACAGAACAGTTGAGGTGGGAAGGGACCTTTGAAGGTCATCTGGTCCAACCCCTCCCTGCTAAAGCAGGGCAACCTACAGCCAGCTGCCCAGGACCATGTCCAGATGGCTTTTGAGTATTTCCAAGGTGGGAGACTCCACAACCTCTCTGGGTAACCTCTGCCAGTGCTCTGTCACCCGCACAGTATAAAAGAGTTTCCTGGTGTTCAGAAGGAACCCCCTGTGTTTCCGTTTGTGCCCACTGCCTCTTGTCCTGTCACTGGGCACCACTGAAAACAGCCTGGCTCCATTTTCTTTGCACTCTCCCTTCAGGTATTTATACACATTGATAAGACCTCCCCCAAGCCTTCTCTTCTCTAGGCTGAACAGTCCAAGCTCTCCCAGCCTTTCCTCATAGCAGAGATGCTCCAATCCCTTAAACATCTTTGAGGCCCTTTGTTGGACTCTCTCCAGTATGTCCATGTCTCTCTCTTGTACTGAGGAGCCCAGAACTGGACACAGCACTCCCAGTGTGGCCTCACCAGTGCCAGTAGAGGCAAAGGATCACCTCCCTGGACCTGCTGGCAACACTTTGCCTCATGCAGCTCAGGATACCATTAGCCTTCTTTGCTGCCAGGGCACACTGCTGGCTCATGTTCAACCTGGGGTCCACATTGCAGTAATTTCATATCATTGGTGTACAAAAAGTTAAAAGACGCATATACTTTCCTGTCACAGGTTTCTTTTAGGCATATTGCATCTTACTACCCCGTGACTGTCAGCTGCGGGCATAGGAAGTTTTGAGCCATCGTGTATATGAATGTAGGTTTCAGTGCAGTTGTAAAATCAGATTTTACAGTGCTGAGCCAGGACTACCTCTCATTTGGTTGCGGTCAAGAAACCTTTTTGTTCCTCCCCTCTGCTCGGTGTTGTAAGCCTGTACCAGCAAGCAATTTACCGAAGTTGTCTGTTCGTACCAACCCTGAAAAGCCTGACTGTCACACCTGCGCTTTACAGGTCATAGTGGAGAAGGTCTCAGGATCTCAGATTGTTGATATTGACAAGAGGAAGTACTTAGTTCCATCTGACATCACTGTGGCCCAGTTCATGTGGATCATCAGGAAGAGGATTCAACTGCCATCTGAGAAAGCAATATTCCTCTTTGTAGACAAGACTGTCCCACAATCCAGGTGAGAAGCTATTCACTTGGTGTTCAAAAGCGTCTCAGCAAGCCTGTGCGTATCAGAGGGACAGTAACTGCCCTCTTTGAGGCTTATTTGGTGATTTTAGGAGGTGTTTGATTACATCTTAATCTCACCGCGGTAGGTTTTTTTCTCACAAGTTTGATAAACATCTTATTTCTTGAGCTAAGCTGAAAGGAAAGGTGACTGAAAAATATATTATGATTTACTTCCATGGCAAGAGGGTGAGCTCTGGAATTATTATGATATCTTTGGTTGAGCGCAAGAACATTTACATCATCAATGTCAAAAAAATAATCATTCTCAATGTAACAAAAGTTGCATGTTAAATACTCAAAAGCAAACTTCATCAATTATTCTGAAAAAAACATTAACCTGTCAGCTTACAAAGAAATTATGACGTTACAAACTAGTTGCTGTTACTTGTTTTAAAAATTACTTATTTTCTTCTATAAACACAAAATGCAAAATGACTATAGAAAGGTTTTTCACATTGCTTTTATAAAGGAATAAGTTTCATTGTTGTCTGCTACATACAGAATAATGTATAGCAGAAGCAGCTACTACAACTGCTTTTTATACAAGATACTTTAATAGTATTTGAGGAAATAGTACGTCATGATGTTATGTGCCTTAGATATAATATTCTTCTTATTAATCCTTACCTGTGTAAGAGTAACAGTCCCTCCAGGTAACCTGTCCAGACTCAGTTAGGAATATTTTTATTTACTTTGTGATACACAATAGGGACCTGTGAGAACCATCTTTTTCTGCTTGCTTTCTTCTGAGGGTATTAGGAATGCCTATATGTCATCTTCTTAACAGTGCTGTAGAACTGCTAGGAACAGGGAAGAAAAAGAAAGGGCACATTGTCTCATCTTACATGTTCATGATGAGATGTCACATCTCTGCTGGAAAAATAGGGCCTTGAACCTTCACTATTAATGCAAAAATGGTAACTTGTTAACAGATAAACAAAAATCTAATCTGTTAATGGCTCTGCTCCTCTCATAGGCGGAGTTCATTACATAGACCACTAACTCTTGACATCCTTCTCTCCTCATCCAGAAGTTTTATCTACTACTCACCAATTCCCTTCCATTTCAAGTACTGCCTGCAACTCTTCCCAGCTCCTCTCTTGGGTAAAAAGCCATGATCATTTTCGCTATTGCTCACATTCAGTCTGCGTCTTTCAGTTCACTAGCCTTTTCTCAGTTTTGGGAAGTCAGACAAAGGTGAGCTGAGGAGGCATCATTTGTGCAACTGACTGATGTCAACTGCCCATTTCATCTGTAGATAGATGGTTGGAGCAGTTGTACTGGCCAAGTAATTGCTGGGGTTTCTTTTTGTTTTCAAAATACAGACATTGCCCTAAAGACCGCAGCTGCTTAGACTATGAAGGGCCACATGCCTATTCAGTTTCAGAAAATTTTCATTTGACCAAATGTTCAAAACCTTATCCACTGAAAAAGCACTACTTTCTGGCTAACTTGTAATTTATTGCCCACACATTTTGGCACTAGCACTATTTTAAGTTATCACTTTTTAACAATATAGAAAACAAAGCTTTTACTTCCCAAAACAACCTGGACCTCAAAGAAACAGTCCAAAGAGCACAAGTTTGATAGACTTGAGACCAGCTGAACATTCACGACTACACCAGCTGGAGGGAGAAATGAGGTTGTTCACACAAGAAGCAAGATGTTAATGCAGCTGCATTCAAGGAAGATGCTGTCAGGCTGTTGCTCCTGGTATTAGTCACAGCATCAATAATGCATGATTCAGAACCTGAAACACATTCAGTGACTGATTTCCAATAAAATAAGGAAGCATTCTGACAAATGCATTTGTGAAGAAGTAACAAAAACCTAGACGCTCTGCAGAGAGCCCAGGATCATTTTGCTAACTCAGGAGTCAACTACTTTTCATATATCCTCATTTTTGTATTTTAATTTACACACAGACTTTCAAGTTTTAGCTTTTATTAACCCTTGTTCATGTGAGGTTCTAACTGATACTATTTGCAACTGTCATGATCCAAGCAAACCATTTCTCTTTTTTTCCCCTTCAAGCTTAACTATGGGACAACTTTATGAGAAGGAAAAGGATGAGGATGGATTCTTGTATGTTGCCTACAGTGGAGAGAACACATTTGGTTTCTGAATGGTGGGTCTTGGCTACTACACCATCCTGCTGTGTATCTTGTAAATAGCTGATCATTTTTTGTTCTGACATCCACAGAAGTTCCTTCTATATACATGCATTTGTAACTGGATTTATTTCTTAATATATTGATAGGTCTTGTTTTATTAGACTGTTAAATTATCAAAAAAAAGTTTTGTTGTTTTTGTGCATTTTTTTCTCATGGCTATGAATTCCCAGAGCCTCACTGCTTTGGGGGATACATTTGATGACATTGATTAAAGAATAAAGTGAAGTAGTTGGGCTACTAAAACATGAACAGAAGAATATGCATTTATTCTGTTTTGAGGTGTTAGTTTAAGAAAAATAAAAACATTAAATTAGTATTGGGAACACTGGATTTGCTAGCTTATCCTAAGCAGGAACAAGATGCTGATCATGTTGAGCTATTATGTTCCTCTTTCTCAATTAACAAACAAGTACAATAAAAATTCCTGTCACAAACGAGCAGTGCTGTCATTTCTTTACCTTAATTTTGGACAGAAACTTATACATCACATTTACTCGACACTATGCAGCTGCTTATATTATTTACTAGACATTGTACAGCTTTTCAACCTCTTGCATGTGGATGATGATACAAGGAAGAAACAAAGAGCGATCCAAAACCAATACCTTCAGAGCTACTAGATCTCATCAGGAGAAGAGCTATGCCTGCCCACAGGCTGTCAATGGAGGAGTAAATACCATGGGATTTGGAAAGCAGGACCTAGGTGACAAAAGCATAGCATGTACGGAAAGGGCACCTAGGAGAAGGAATGATACAAATAGGAGACCAGAGAGCTGGAGAACTGGAAGGTATAATTTGTACATGAGTTACTGCAGAGAGAGAAATAATTGGTAAGGGGTTCAGATTAAAACAGTTGCACGAGCAGCTCAAAAAAAAAAACCAACCCCAAACAACCCAGCAATAGCTGTGTTACAGGTAGTTATATAAATATACATGTCCTTTCCAAGTAAAAATTCTGTAGATATTGTAAGGACATTACAGAACCAAGTATGTGAAAGAACAGCTTTACTATACAGCTGAGTGGTGCGGTCGACACGCCTGAGGGACGGGATGCCATCCAGAGGGACCTGGACAAGCTCGAGAAGCGGGCCCGTGTGAACCTCCTGAGGTTCAACAAGGCCAAGTGCAAGGTCCTGCCCCTGGGTCGGGGCAACCCCCGGCATCAGTACAGGCTGGGGGATGAAGGGATGGAGAGCAGCCCTGCCGAGAAGGACTTGGGGGTACTGGCAGACGAAAAGCTGGACATGAGCCAGCAACGTGCGCTCGCAGCCCAGGCGGCCAACCGTATCCCGGGCTGCATCAAAAGAAGGGTGGCCAGCAGGTCAAGGGAGGCGATTCTGCCCCTCTGCTCTGCTCCGGTGAGACCCCACCTGCAGAGCTGTGTCCAGCTCTGGAGCTCTCAGCACGGGAAAGACATGGACCTGTTGGAGCAGGTTCAGAGGAAGGACACGAAAATGATCAGGGGGATGGAACACCTCTGCTATGGAGAAAGGCTGAGAGAGTTGGGGTTGTTCAGCCTGGAGAAGGCTGCAGGAAGACCTTATTGTGACCTATCAGTACTTAAAGGGGGCTTATAAAAAAGATGGGGACAGACTATTTAATGGTTTTAAACTAAAAGAGAGTAGATTCAGACTAAATACAAGGAAGATATGATGAGGGTGGTGAAACACTGTCACAGGTTTCCTAGAGAAGTGGTAGATGCCTCATCCCTGGAAACATTCAAGGCCAGGTTGGACGGGGCTCTGAGGAACCTGATCTAGAGGAAGATGTCCCGGCCCACAGCAGGGGCATTGGACTAGATGACCTTTAAAAAGTCCCTTCCAACCCAAACCATTCTATGATTCTACTTAGTTGAGGCAGACAACTAGAATTAGAAATGCTGCATGCAGGATAAAGAATTCAAGATCAGTTCCTCCAGTTTATAAGCACTATTGCCAAAGCATGTATGCAGCACAGCAAAAGTAAAGAGGCTTTGCCACAAAACCAAAAAAAGTTGTTATTCATGAGGCTATCAACTTCTCTCCAAATGGGCTTACCATAGCTACACAGCTACCTCTACTTACAGGCAAAGAGGCAAACTCGTGGCTCTGAAAGATGGGGGGTGGGGCATGGAAAAAAACACCTAATTGACTTAATTGCACAGTACCGGAGTTCACGCTTTGATATTAAAGGATAACACTGGGTTGGAAAAATAGCATAGCTTTGAACTTCATAAGCCAGCAAGGAAACACTAATTAGAGTTTAGATTTGTAATAAAAGTTTTACTTCATTTTCACGCTACATGGTGCGGAAGAGTGTAGTTTTTAAAATGTTCCCAGTCACAGTGGAAATTTATCACCTTCCAAGGTTAAATCAAATTCATATTAACTCAAACTCCCATGCAGTCACATTATGCCTAGAATTATGTTTGGCTCCACAGTTATTCACAGGTACTGGCAGAAGGACTCCAAAATGAGAAGGTAGGAGCCTGTGAAATGTTGACACTATTATTGAGGCTTCTCACAGTAACAGTGCTGCATGTGCATACTGCATCTGAAAATGTGCTGTCGATTTCAGTAAGCCTTTCATTATTCAAAATAGCACTGCAATGTATAGCACTGCTTTAGTAAACATTCCGTCATTGCTTCCACCATGAATTCCTTCCACTCCCTGCCTTTCCACGCATCTAGTATTAATGTTTACTTTTAACAGAATTTTTTATTCAGAATGAAGAAAAGTGGTTTCTTCCATGATTTTTTAATTACCTTTTATTACTGGAAAATATTCTGTTTCCTTTAGGCTGAAACTTCACAGTTTGTCTATGGTTATCAAGTAGTATTTTTTGCTAACTGTTAACAAGAAAGTACAAAATGTAACTTACAACTGCTAGATAAAGCTAATTACATGATAGCACATAGGTATATCTAAACAAAACAAGGGAAGATGAAGTTTTATTCCCAATGTTATGATCGCGGTGACTTTTGGAATACCCTTCATAAGCCTCTAAAAAAACCACATAACTACTCTCTTTAACGTCTCTGTAATTATTAGTTTAGATTTAGGAGCCCAGGTACACAAGTAATTCCAGAGAATGCAAGGATAAATGTTCTACAGCAGTAACTTTACTTTTCATCTGCAGATGCACTTAAAATGGCAATAAAACAGCAACAGATTTCCTTTTGAAATGCACAGATGAAATGCATCTTAGATAGTACAGTCACTCTTGTAAAATTATTAAAAGCATTTGGGTCCTATATGATCTTCACTTTCTATTAACCCTTCAGGACTGGGAAGGCATTTCAGTTTATACACCGAACAGAAAACAAAGAAATACCCCACTATTCCTACAGCAACACTTCTACATCACCTATCTTTAAGCTAATTTGAAATGTCATTTCCGATATAATTAAACGAGTACTAGATGAATTTAGATGGTCTTTCCTCAAAAATTATCTTGTTTCCACCTGTAAACCACTGCTGCAACCCTCCTGTAACGACATTATCAGATTCTTGGGGTGGTTATGCTTTGAGAGAAAGAACTGCGAGGCCTCTCAGCTACATCTGGCTCCCAGTTTTACTCCAACACCTTTCTTCCTTTCTTACCAACAGTAGCTTCCCAGAAGTAACTCACACTTCATTTCCATACTCACACCTCAAGCATGTTCTCCGGGTGTGGTTTCATAACCAGCTAATAGTTTGTACCAAGTGAAAGGAAGCCTGGCTCCACCTCCTTCTGCCCTCAGCAGCGCAGCCCTAGCTCTTCCTTTCCTCTCGTGTTTACTGGGCTTACTGCAAAGCTGATTTAACTCCTAGTGAAAAGCTACACGTTGTTTTGGGCTCACTGTTTGTTTTTCTACAAAGACAGTAATATGAATAGTCTTCAATTACTCTGAACATACTGAAATCCGAAAGCGCTCCAGCCTGTGTAAGGTGAGCAGTGAAAGTACACTGCGAAGATCAAAACCTTGCTTTTTCAAAGGTAGTTGTCTCATGGAACTGCAGCCTCCAGCTCAAACAGATTGTTTACTTCCTTGCTTGGACAAAAACACTTGTTTCTATGCTCTGGTTTTGACTTCCTCAAAGATAAGCAGGCGGTCTGCCGTGCCTTCTTACTGATTGAAACCAGAATGACTTCTCCAATAGTGAAGCTGTTAAAGACATCCCATTCAAAATAAGGATTACAGTTTGTTTGTTTGGCAAATAGGGACCATCAGTCCCCATACTCGTTTGGGAAAGTCAAGGACCTACCTGGGTAATACCAATATGCTCTGTAGAGCATTTTACACATGCCTTGGGAATCTTGGTGCCCTTATATGCTCTGCTGCTCCCATTACCAATTGTTTGGTTGTCCTCATTAACCATGAACTGTGGGTACTTCATCCCCGCTACTTTACCCCCCCAATTCTGCTCCCCTGTGGCAGAGTCTCTGCATTCTACTGTCCTCCCTATGCCTTGTCTATCGCTGTTTTTCAGTGCATCAGCTATTCCAGTGCAAAGGAGTGATACAAGCTTGGAACACGTCAACTGCTACCTTCCAGGAGCAATTCTTCCAAAGATCTGCTAACAATGATGAAAGTTCAGTTTGCTACCTCTTCCAAAAGCAGAGATTGTGTTCTCTCTCCTCTCTGCATTTTTACCTTCTGATTTTTAGATTGGTTTCTTGGTACTGCCTACAGCATTTCCTGACATTTTGGAATTAAACAGATGCAGCATTTAAATACTTACTTTCAATCCCAGAAATGCCATCCAGTTGAGTATAAGATCCTGCAGGCTTAGCCCCTCAGCCTTTTAAATGTTGATTTGTTTTAGCTCCTTCCCTCTCTTTGTGTATTCACTGACTCACTCTAGGCTTAAATATGTCCTCAACTCCATCCAAAAAATGAGGTTAGTATCAGTGTTCAGCACCTCTAAAACTACTTTTAAACCTGACAAGTAGCAGAAAGCAGCAGTCTACAGTTCACAAGTATTTTACAAATGCACAGGAAAATCTTACCAGGAACAATCTCTCCTAACAGCCAGGCTCAAATTTTAGGAAAGAGTTAAAAGAATTTACATCATATAACTGCTCATCTGAAAACTAGTCTGATGCCAAGGCTACAGAACAACTAGCCTTATGTAACCCATTTTAATATTGTAGCTGGATAGGAAATGGGAACATTCCAGTCTGGTCAGCAGGTTCGCTACAGACCTTGTTGATTAACAAAGGGAAACTAGGTATGTTTAGGTATAGTTTCTGCAAGATTTCAGGGAAGGATAAAGGTAAATTTCAGGAGCCTGGAAATTTACTGGTTATCTCTTTAGGTACACTACAGGACTCTGCCCTTGGAATGCTATTTGCTCAATTACAATAACTGCTATCATTTCTCTTCAGCAGTTCACCCTGTACCCCATCTGCAATGGCATCTGGCCATTTTTCATCCTCTGATGAGTAATGCAAGTCACCGTTCTCC